TTTAGTACAGTAGCATAGGTATATTTGATCTTCTTCTTCCATATTTGTTCCCACTCTTCTAATCTTATTGGTCTCCGGATGTTTCTCGCCCATTTAACCATGCACTCTTTAACCCTTTCTTGTTCTGTTTCTCTTTCAAGTAGGATATTGTATATTGATGTTATTTTTTTTCCCCTTCCGCAGAACCTTTTCCCAAAATGTATCTTTTTCCATGAAGCCCTCTTTTTGATCTTTGTTAAAATGTTCTCTTAACTGAAAGTAATGAAGCCACGAAAATGATGGAAATTCCTTGGTCAGCTCTTCCTTTGATTTCAGTTGGAGAGAGCCCTCTTTCTTCTTAGTTGAAGTCCTGTAAGTGGGCCAAACTCTCCAGCCTAGCAGCCTTCTTTGCACCCCTTCCAAGGGGGACAGCCACATGGGTGTTCGCCCTGGGTATAAATTTCTTTTGTATTTGTTCCACGTTCTCAGTAGAGGTCTCCTTAGTGCGTGGTTGTTGAAATTTTTTTCCTTCCTACTTTGATCTTGCCATAGGTAGGCGTGCCAGCCTACTCTGAGGTTGAACCCTTCTAGCGTTAGCATTTTATCTTTTTCTAGGAGAATCCAGTCCTTGATCCAGGTTAAGGCACAAGCGTCATGATAGAGAGTCAAGTCCGGTAGACCCAGGCCTCCTCTCCTGGTTGCGTCCACCATATGTATATACTTAATCCTAGGTTTTTTCCCGCTCCAAATGAATGTTCTTATTATCTTATTCCAGTTTTTAAATGGAGTTTTATTTTGTATAATCGGGAGATTTTGGAAGAGGAAGAGAATTCTGGGTAAGATATTCATTTTAATTATAGCGATTTTTCCAAGAAAAGATATTTTTAATTTGGACCAGTTCTTCAGGTCTTCTTTGATCTTTTTCCAGACTGGGTCGTAATTATTCTTGAAGAGCTGGGAGTTGTTGGCAGAGATGGTTATACCTAAGTATCTTAATTTTGAGACTATGGGCATGCCCGTTAAAAGTCGGAGTCTTTCCTGGTTTTCTTTTGTTATGTTTTTTGTTAGAATTTTGGACTTCTCCTTGTTAATCCTGAAGCCTGCTAAGGATCCGTACGTCTCTAATTTTGAAAGCCATTTATGGGCCTGTTTTCTTGGATCTTCTATGACGCATATTAAGTCGTCTGCAAAGGCTCGGAATTTCAATGCATGTTTACTGACGCTTAAAGGAGAAATGGATTTGTCAGATCTGAGGTTTCTTAACAAAATTTCTAAAGATAAGATGAAAATAAGAGGGAAAAGTGGGCAGCCCTGTCTGGTGCCTTTCTTTATGATTATTTTTTTAGAAGGACATCCATTTATCCATAAGGTGGCATGTTGTTCGTTATAGATTGCTTTCATGGCATTGATGAAATTGTGCCCAAAGTCCATTTCTTCTAGGATCGATAAGAAGAATTCCCATCTCGTGTTGTCGAACGCCTTCTCGGCGTCAACCGCTATGAATGCTACCTCGATCTGGTGATGATAATCATAATATTCAATTAAATCCAGAATGTTTCTTGTGTTCTCGTTCATTAGTCTCCCTGGAAGGAAACCTGTTTGTTCTTCGCCTATCCATTTGGATAGATAGGACTTCAATCTCTCACTTAATATGGATGTATTAGTAATTAGTAATTCCAAATCGGTACATTAGTACATTAGTAATTCCAAATCGGTCTCCTGATATGGTAAGTCGGTGTAACCAGGATGGCGGTCCCTCCGAATTGAAAGTGGTGCTGTTGAACGCCAGATCTGTCAACTGGTAAAACAACTTTCATCCAGGATTTAATCCTGGATGAACGGGCAGATCTGGCGTGCATCACGGAGACCTGGTTGGACGAAGCGGGAGGTGTAAATCTAACCCAGCTTTGTCCACCAGGTTTCTCTGTGCAGCACCAACCGAGATCCGGAGGGCGGGGAGGCGGAGTTGCAGTGGTCTATAGAGATTCTATTCTTCTGACCAGGGCCCCCATCCCGCAGTCAACAAATTTTGAATGCGTCCACCTGAGGGTGGGTGACCGGGACAGATTAGGGATTCTGTTAGTGTACCGTCCACCTCGCTGCACTACAGACTCCCTGACTGAGCTAGCAGGGGTGGTCTCGGACCTGGCATTGGAGTCCCAACGGCTGCTTGTGCTGGGGGACTTCAATGTCCACGCCAAGACCGCCTTATCAGGAGCGGCTCAGGACTTCATGTCTACCATGGCAACCATGGGGCTGTCCCAACAGGTATCTGGCCCCACCCACAGCGCTGGACATACATTGGACTTGGTTTTCTGTCAGGGATGGGAGGAAGGTGGCGGTGTTGAGGAGTTATCCATCTCTCCGTTGCCGTGGACTGACCACCACCTGGTCAGCTTTAGACTCACTGCACCCCCTAACCTCCGCAGAGGTGGAGGACCCATTAAGTTGGTCCGCCCCAGGAGGCTTATGGATCCGGATGGATTCCTGATGGCTCTTGGGGAATTTCCCGCCACCTCGGTTGGTGATCCTGTTGATGCTCTGGTCGCTCTCTGGAATGGGGAGATGACTAGGGCAATAGACACGATCGCTCCAGAACATCCCCTCTCAAGTAGCCGAGCTAAACCAGCTCCTTGGTTCACCGAGGAGCTGGCAGCGTTGAAGCGAAAGAAGAGGGAACTAGAGAGCGTGTGGCGTTCGGATCAGAGCGAGCCAAATCGAACACGGTTTGTGTCCTTTTTAAGGGCATATGCCGCGGCAATAAAAGCCGCAAAGAAAACTTTCTTTGCGGCCACTATTGCGTCTGCAAAGAACCGTCCGGCTGAACTGTTCCGAGTTGTCAGAGGCCTATTAAAACCCGCCACTCAGGATGGGTGCCCTGATGACTCGGCAGCTCGCTGCGAAGCTTTTGCTCGGTTCTTCGCAGACAAAGTCGCTTTGATCCGCTCTGGACTGGATACCATATTAACGGCAGTATCTGAGGATGTAACACGAGCATCTGCTTGTCCGGTTTTGATGGATTCATTTCAATTGGTTCAATCCGAGGATGTGGACAAGGTGCTTGGAGGAATGAGAGCTACCACATGCATCCTAGACCCCTGCCCATCCTGGCTTCTGAAGGAGGCCAGAGGGGGATTGGCTGAGTGGGTGAAGGTGGTGGTTAACGCCTCCCTTCGGGAGGGCAAAATTCCAGCCAGCTTAAAGCAAGCTGTGATAAAACCGCTGTTGAAGAAACCATCACTGGACCCCACTCAATTCGTCAACTATCGGCCTGTTTCCAATCTCCCCTTCTTGGGCAAAGTCATGGAACGTGTGGTGGCCTCACAACTCCAGGCATTCTTGGTAGACACGGATTATCTGGATCCGGCACAGTCTGGCTTTAGGCCGGGGCATGGTACCGAGACAGCCTTGGTCGCCTTAGTGGATGATCTGCGTCGGGAGCTCGACAGGGGGAGTGTGTCCCTGTTGGTGCTGCTCGACCTCTCAGCGGCCTTCGATACCGTCGACCACGGTATCCTTCTGGGACGCCTCGCGGGGATGGGTCTTGGAGGTACTGTTCTGCAGTGGCTCCGCTCATTCCTCGAGGGTCGGTCTCAGAAGGTGTTATTGGGAGACTCCTGCTCAACCCCACAACCTTTGTCTTGTGGGGTTCCGCAGGGTTCAATATTGTCTCCCATGTTGTTTAACATCTACATGAAGCCATTGGGCGAGATCATCCGGAGTTTCGGAGTGCGATGTCATCTGTACGCAGATGATGTTCAACTCTGTCACTCCTTTCCACCTGCTACTAAGGAGGCTGTCGAGGTCCTGAACCGGTGCTTGGCCGCTGTGACGGTCTGGATGGGGGCGAACAAATTGAAATTGAATCCAGACAAGACAGAGGTACTCCTGGTTAGTCGCAAGGCCGAACAGGGTATAGGGTTACAGCCTGTGTTAGACGGGGTCGCACTCCCCCTGAAGACGCAGGTTCGCAGTTTGGGTGTGATCCTGGACTCATCGCTGAGCCTGGAACCCCAGGTTTCGGCGGTGACCAGGGGAGCATTTGCACAGCTTAGGCTTGTGCGCCAGCTGCGCCCGTACCTTGGGAAGTCTGACTTGGCCACGGTAGTCCACGCTCTGGTTACATCCCGTTTAGACTACTGCAACGCTCTCTACGTGGGGTTGCCTTTGAAGACGGCCCGGAAGCTCCAATAGTCCAACGCTCGGCAGCCATGATACTAACAGGAGCGGGGCGCAGGGAGCATACAACTCCTCTGCTGCACCAGCTCCACTGGCTGCCGATATGCTACCGGGCTCAATTCAAAGTGCTGGCGTTGGCCTTTAAAGCCCTAAACTGTTCTGGCCCAACTTATCTATCCGAACGTATCTCAGCCTATCAGCCCACCAGGACCCTAAGATCTTCTGGAGAGTCCCTGCTCTCTATCCCGCCGGCTTCACAAGTGCGGTTGGCGGGAACGAGAGACAGGGCCTTCTCTGTGGTGGCCCCTCGGCTTTGGAACACCCTCCCTTTAGAGGTACGATCAGCCTCTACGCTGATGGTGTTTCGGAAGAGACTGAAAACATGGTTGTTCAAACAAGCATTTGGCTAATACGTTGCAACCGAATGTTGATGACTAAAGGATTGACAATCACGGACGACGAATTTGGATTGGGATTTTAGTTACGAGATGCATCGGATTTTATTGGTGGCCCAATAATTTGTATTGTAATTGTGTTTCATGTTTTTAATATGGTATTGTTCTTAACTGTTGTAAACCGCAATGAGTCGCCGATTTCGGCTGAGAAATTAGCGGTATACAAGTCTATAAATAAATAAATAAATAAATAAATAAATAAATAAAATGTAAATATTTTGTAATCGTGGTTAAGTAAAGAGATGGGTCTGTAGTTTTTCACTTCCGCTGCGTCAGTATTCTCTTTGTGTATAACTGTTATAGTGGCTTCTTTCCAAGAATTCGGGATCGTCTTATCTGATAATGCTTTATTCATAGTTCTCTTCAAGTAAGGAATCATTACCTCACAAAAGGTCTTGTAGTAGGTAGCCGTGAACCCATCTGGGCCTGGAGCTTTTGATGGTTTTTGTTTTTTAATTGCTTTTCTTATCTCTTCTTCCGTAATCTCCTTGTTTAGATGATCTCTATCTTGGTCTGAAATCTTCCCTAGTTTCTGGTGGCCGAGATAGGTCATGATCTCCTCTTTCTTATTTTGCTTCTCGGCATATAGTTCTTCGTAGTAATTACTAAATTCTTGTAAAATGTCGTGGTCGGTGATTGCGTCTTTCTTGCTGGTGGATATTTTCACGATGTGGCTCCCTTGTTTTTTCTTTCTTATTTTCCGAGATAGCCATCTCCCGGGCTTGTTGGCCTGTTGGAATTCTTTCTGTCTTATAAATTTTAATTGTTTCTCCATCTCTTCTGTTTCTAGGGCTTTTCTCTGTTTCCTAAGGGTATCTAGTTCCTTTTTTACCTTCTTGTCTTTGACATTCCTTTTGAATTTTGACTCTGTTTTTTCGAGTGCTTTCTTCAGGTCCTCGAGTTTTTGCTTGTTCAGTTTATTCTTTATAGCTTTCTGTTTTATGAGGTGGCCCCTCATGACTGCTTTACCTGCATCCCATAAGGTTTCAATAGAGATGTTTCCTGTGTCGTTGAGTTCGAAGTACTCTTTTAAGAGGTCAGAGTTGTTCTTTATGTCTTTTTCTTCTTTGAGAAGGCTATCATCCAGACGCCACCTAAAAAAGTCTTTTCTGTGATTGAGTGTCAATTCTAGCGCACAATGGTCTGACAGGTCTCTCGGGAGTATTTTAATTTTGAATATTTGGGTATTGATGGATTTTGAGGACCAGATCATATCTATTCGGGACCAGCTATTATGCCTTCCCGAATAGAAGGTGTAATCTCTACTCTCTTTGTATAGGGTGCGCCAGGAGTCCTCCAGGTCCCACTCTTCCTTCAATCTGATGAATTTCTGAGGGAGAGTATTAGATTTGGTTCCTTGCTTTTTTGTTTCCCCCCTTGTCTTATCCCATTTGCTGTTAATCACTCCGTTGAAGTCCCCCATCAGAATTAGATGATCGAATTGAGTCTCTTGAATTTTATCGTTTAAGTCTGATATAAATTTTATTTTTGGACCGTTAGGCGCGTATATGTTACATATTAAGATGGTTTTTAGTCCTTGTTTAATGGCTATAGCTATTATTCTCCCTTCTATGTCTTTGAACGCCAGTTCCGGTGTTAATTTCTCTTTAGCATAGATTATGACCCCTCTTTTCTTTTCTGTTGCTAGAGAGTGGAATTCACAACCAAGATCTTTATTTATTAGATGGGGTGAGTGTTTTAACACCATGTGGGTTTCCTGCAGAGCTACAAGATCGTAATTTCCCTTTTTGATTTTACCAAATAGTTTCTTTCTTTTAGAGGGCGAATTAAGACCATTTACATTATTGCAAAAAATCTTTATTTGTTTCTTAGATACATTCGTTTCCTCCATTTTGGTTATCTTTAATACAATCCTTTCTGCCTGGTCCGTTGTCATCTTCTAGGTGTTTGAAGAGGGGTTCCTTCAATTTAAGTCTTTGTTGTCTATCGTATTCTGGTGAGCTGAAGCGCCGCTTTTTCTGTTTCCCTCCTAGCAGTCTGTGATCTGATGGCCAGTTTTCTTGATCTTTCCTAAGAGTTTCATAGAATTCTTCAGCTTTTTCTTCGTTAGTTATCTGATATTTTTTCTCCTTGAAGGTCACTGTCATGCCTTCCGGTATTTCCCATTTGAATCTTATACCCGCTTTCTTTAGGGCCACCACCTTTGGCTGCAAAGGATGTAGTCAATCTGATTTCGGTGTTGACCATCTGGTGAGGTCCACGTATAAAGCCATCTTTTAGGTTGTTGGAAGAGAGTATTCGTTATACACAGTGAGTTTTCCTGGCAAAAGGTATCCCTAGATGCTTGTAATTCTACAGAGGAATAGCGCTGTTTAATGGATAAGGAGTAGGAGCATCTTTAGATGTATTACAGGTAGGTTGCCATTTTATTAGGAGAAACTCATAGTAACATTGAAAATTAATAGCAGACCTTTGGTACAGATCTGGAACAAATCAGAGAACGTTGGAATCTGATGGTTTATAAGAAATTCTGGTTTTAATCCCATTTTTGGATATTTTTAAAACATGAGATGTTTGTTGCAAACAATTACAAAATAATTGTAAAACATTAGCACAGGTCTGGAGAGAATTCCAAATTTCAGGGTTCATAGTTAACAAAGGTACAAGAATTAAAACGTCAACACGATGAGAAAGAGGCAGTGGGAGAGGCTATTCAGATTAATAAAACTGAGCCAAAATAGTAACAAAAAAGCATTTAGATATGGTTTTATCAACAAACACTTCAGAAGTAGTATCATTCTTTTCATTAAACCTAAAAGATGCATGCAAATTGTATGGAGAGAGGATTGAACCAAAGAGAAAGTAAGGTAGAGTTGCCTAAATTGAGCTTATAGCTCAGGTGAGATTTGAATCGGAACTGTTCAGCACACTAGAATTAACATATAACAAAGTACAGTCAAGGGGGAATATAACATTGCAAAATTAAGGTAGTAATTTAAATTCTAAACACTGGTAATAATAGTTAATAATACATTCCCTACAGTCATACTCCCACATATTTTTGTATCCATGTAAAGATATATATGGTATATATATCAAGAGACTATGGGAAACACATAATGGGACATGTATCGATATTAAAACCATCCTCAAGTACCTGGGGAAAAGGCCGTAATTGTACATTGGAACAGGAGCAGCCTCTTCTGTGGGTCTCTTTTCTTTAAACTTCCATGTCTAAATCAGAAAAGATTATAAACCAAATTGGTAAACTTAAATGTTCCAGAGATCAATATGTTCAAAATTACAATCCTATGCATGCCAAATGGTGTATGGTCAGATTTCTTTGCCAATAAATATGTAGAAAATTGAGCTCTAAGTGTGAAAGCATTTTATGGATCAGAATGTTAATGATTTTTGCAACTACAAAACCAGTTAGCACATAACAAGATGCAATAGGTTTTTATGGTATTTCTTTTTATTAATTACACAAAAAATAGTTATAGACTTAAAACAACAAAATGATATGTATTATAAATTTTAAGTGAACAAAGGAAGAAATCTATTCCCAAAAAGAACTATTTGAAGGCAAACATCATGAAAGAGAAATGTGAGTATTATAAGGCTGCATAGTCATGAAATAAAACTACATTGTTTTCTTCTTCAGGTTAGCTCACTAACAGATGAATTCAGTAAAAAAAAATCCCTCATATTTCTTTGAGTTTCATGGTTCTTATTTTCTGTGACAAAATTTGCTGTTATGCTCATTTATACCTATATGATATGCATGTCAACCATTTCCCAAATTGCAATATCAAAACAATTATAAAGGAAAAAGGAAGTACATGATATTGATAGATCAGAATTCCAGTGGCTGACTCATAAGGCAAAATGTTTCATATGATGTATTTTTAAAAATTATGCAACATGTGACACCCAAGTTGAAATGGTCTGATGCTATGCTTTTGAAATATTGCAGAAAAATAATTCAGTAGCAATAACAAACATTCACAATGTACCTTAACTCCTTTAAATCCTCCACTTATGAGTTCATTTTTAATTGGGTTGAATGATAAAAATATTAACCGCCCAGAACCACGATTTTCTACTGAGCAAATCTCAACATAGTCCTTGTTGTAAACCTTAAGAAAACAAATAGTAAAACAAATGGTTAAAATAATCTATTAAAAATCTTATTAAAAATTAAACAACCAACAGATCCAGACCATGTGCTAAATACAAACAAACCAATTATATTGGTCAACATTATTTTCAAGTTATATGTGATATTTGAAAATAAGATTGCATCTTTGAACAATATAAATCTGAAAATATAAGTCTTCACTAGTAATCCAAATCCAAAGTGCACCATGTAGTGTTACTGATGCCAATCTGCATGATACAAACTGACAGTATATGGTGGGTTTCTAGGAAACGATGCAAATATGAGAATATTCCAGTCTCTAGCATATTAGGGGGAAATGAAAATGTGCTGTATCAGATAGTTTACTGGATGCCAACGAGGATGGCAGGCTAATTTATACGTCTTTGAAAGAAGTTTAAGGTATACTTTTACGACAATTGTTTTTTATACTCAAAAATAGTTAGAAAGCAGAGAAGTATAACAGATAGTTACTTTTATTCCAAATACACAATGGAACCTACTGACACTGTAAGTATGTGATACACAGATTTTAATATGCACTCATTATTGAGCATGTGTATAGCATTGGAAAAAACTAGATATCTCTCAATTTTTCTTTTTAAAAGGTGATTTTCAATTGATGCAGGTTATGATATACAGTACAAAGCAGAATTTAAAGCAGGATATTCTTCAGGGAGAGGAGTCACTTAACCACCTCCCCCAAGTTTGCAGTGAAATGATAGACTGGGAAAAAGTTAAATGACTTCATGTTTTCATGTTCAAAATTTTTGTGTTCCAAATATGTTTTTAATGCATACATTCAGTCGTAACTGTTTATTCCTGTTTCACTGTAACATGCAGTGAGTTATGCTACTCAAAATTCTTGAATTCAGTTATCACAGACATGGAGCTCTTAAACTGTCTTCTTATTTTTATTGACTATTTTCTCACAACAATATATAGTTTTACCTTGATTGAAAAATCTTTTTGTAGAACAAAGTAAACATTGAATTTTTCAGAGTAAGTAATTATTCTTGCCATGCTGAATTGATATTTTGGAAAATTCATCTCTCTTCTAACTACAATGTCAAACAAATTAAGTTAGAAACCCAGACAAACTTGGTAATTTAGTGTAAACAAACCCACAAAAATTATAGGCTTTCAAAAAATGTTAAACAACTTGTATTCTCTACTCCACAGGCAGCATAAAATTCAGGGTACCTCCTGCTTAAAGAAATAAGTCTTCTGCCAAGGAGACTGGCAGACAAAGAGAAATGAAACAGCCTTTCTCTTCCTGACTGCCCACTGACAGCAAAGACTGATTGTAAATCAAGGGTCCCCAAACTAAGGCCCGCTGGCCTGATGCGGCCCTCCAAGGTCATTTATGTTCCCCTCCCCTCTAAACTTTAGGCTTAGGGTTGCCCTAGGTCTGAAATGACTTGAAGGCACGCAACAGCAATCCTAATTAATTTGACTATATCATAAATCAAAAGAAGCCCCACACTTCCCATTGAAATACTGATAGTTTTATGTTGGTTAAAATTGTTCTTCATTTTAAACATTGTATTATTCTTCCATGGGTTGTTTTTTGTTTTGTTTTTTGTTTTGCACTACAAATAAGATTTGTGTAGTATGCATAGGAATTTGTTCATGCTTTTTTGAAACTACAGCCTAGCCCCCAAACAGTCTATGGGACCATGAATCTGTCCTCTGTTTAAAAAGTTTGAGGACCCCAGTTGTATAGGGATCTGTCCTTTTCCTGGCGAGCCTCCAGACTAAAGGAAAATAAGTAGCAGAAAATGAAAAGAAAGGAGAAGCCAGGAAGAAAAACAACACTAAAAATAAACGGAGATAGGGAAGTACTGGGATGGCACAAAAATGGTGCTAGATGCTACATATAACCAGTATTGCACTTTCTACATTCGTGCATTAAAGTATTACAAAAGTAAAGCAAGGCTGATAACTTTTATTGCATCACTTCAAGCACGTTTGCCATTGTTTTAGTATGTTGGTTTCCTAATAAAATCTTTATTTTTTGTAGTTTTTTTCCTATTATGAACCACACTCTTTGATAAAGTAAAAAGTGACCCATTTCACTTTTGCATCTGGTGCCCACTCTGGTCACCCACCAACATGCAGCTCCTGACAGGTGTATCTATGAGGAAATATGGACATCTATGGGAGGGAGATTTCTGGCAAGATCTGAGTAGTCCTGTTATTGACCATGGCACATGAGGCCTCTTATTCATATGATTTCCTCAAGTCAAAACTGACTTGAAATTAAATACACTATGTACTATTTTGTTTATGTGTTTCTTTCCGTGAAAGTTACACATCTAAACAAATACAGTATGTAGAATAATATTCAAGGCGCAAATCATAGATTCACCTCACCATTTTGATTAGAAGGAAGCAAATCTAAGCTGAAAAATCCTTTACCATCTGCCAGGACCAGTCTTTTACTTCGGCTGTTATAGGTTGCTAAAATAATTTGTGAAGAAAAATATATTAGACTATGGCTGTAAATGAAAAAAAAAGTGAAAAATCTGGCTTTCTGTGACCAAAAAGCATGGTGAAATTAAAGTGAACACTGAAGCAGAAATAAAATGTATAATGTTGGATCCAGACCTTCTGAATGGTGTTCTGCTCAAGACATTCCTGTTGGTGGGGAAAAAAGAGCAAGAACCTTTCTTCTTTCCACTGTATACCCAATGTCATCTTTTATTGTACATTATTTCCTGGAACATATTTAGGGAAGTCTAATTGGCTAAACTCAATTTTTGAGAGATAAAGTA